TATAATATTTAGAATCATTCGATAAGGCACTGGTGTTAGTCGGGCACCAACATCGAGCCTCCCTTGAAAAATGAGCAATGTCTTTATACATTTTATGATTTCAGTCACATTATGTAATATCTTGATAGTTGCAATCAATCTGTCATTTCTTTTGGATCCCACTCTCCCCATGTGTGGGTTTCCAAGGGGTTAAAACTTATACACCTTAGTAGTTAGGACCCATATGTGGCTCTCAGTGACGTCACTCACCGGCTCTGTTTCTATTGGTTAATTATGTATCATGAGTTTTGAATTAGACCAATTATATGTTCACACTTACCTTTTTATATCGGTTTTTTCCCGCACATCGGTTCCCTTCTGATGAGCTGTGGGCGAAACGCGCGCGTCAAGGGGAAAGGGCTCTTTCGATACATATTGACCACAGTATCGCCGTCTGTTCAGACGGGCATTAGACTTTATATACTTTAGACTTCGTTATTTAGCCCTATTCCAGCTATACATGTTCTTGTTATATTTTCGTATTAATCCCCACTCCCTCTGTATGAGTTGGCTATTTAGTGAGGAATACAATTTTTTCTTACACTAAATTTTATTTAGTGCAGGTTTTGGATCCAACAAGCACTATGTATGTAACAATTTCTATTTAATACTGTATGGACTGTGCATTTCCGCTGAGTTAACCTATTTGAGACACACATTTTTATGCATTTGAAAACCTATATGGTTTTCTGCATACTATTTGGAGACTTGTCCTGAAAACTTTTGAACAGGACCTCCTTGACTTACTATCGTTAATTACGCTTTAAAAATAATTGATCCTACAGTATTTTATATATATATATATATATATATATATATATATTTTTTATTTTTTTATTTTTTTTTATTGATACATTTCTTCTTCTAATTCAAAATATTAGTTCTTTTAGGGTAATTAAATTATACAGTAAAGCATACTCACACACAGACAGACACTCTTACTGATGCACACAAATAGGCTCATTGACAGACAATGACACACACAGACAAGGTTACTGGCACACACACAACTTTAGTACAGACAAACTCTGATACACACACACAAGCTTACTATAGACAAGCTCACTGTCACACACACACGCTCACTACAGACAAGCTCACTGATGCGCACACACTCTCCCTACAGACAAGTCCATTGACACACACGCTCCCTACAGAAGAGCTCACTAACACACAGATTCACTACAGACAAGCTCACTGACATACACATGATCACTACAGACAAGCTCACTGCTTACTACAGACAAGCTCACTGTACACACATGCTCACCACCGACAGGCTCCGACACACCCATGCTCCTTACATACAAGCTCACTAACACACACACACATGATCCCTACAGACAAGCTCACTGACACACATACAAGCTCACTCACTAGCAGGCACACACACACAAACTCACTAGCAGGCACACACACACACACACACACAGAGGCTCCCTCACTAGCAGATCCCTCACACACAGACAGACAGTCACACACAGGCAGACAGTCACGCACACACAGGCAGACAGTCACACACACACACACACAGGCAGACAGTCACACACACACACACACACACACAGGCAGACAGTCACACACACACAGTCACAAACAGACAGTCACACACTCACACAGACAGTCACACACTTACAGACAGTCACACACTCACAGACAGTCACACACTCACAGACAGTCACATACTCACACAGTCACATACTCACACAGACAGTCACACACTCACACAGACAGTCACACACTCACAGACAGTCACACACTCACACAGGCAGTCACATCCAGACAGTCACACACACACAGTCACACAGAGTCAGTCAGTCATCACACAGGCAGTCACACACTCACACAGACAGTCACACACAGGCAGTCACACACTCACACAGACAGTCACACACTCACATGCAGTCACACACTCACACAGACAGTCACACACTCACAGGCAGTCACACACAGACAGTCACACACACACAGACAGTCACAAACTCACAGGCAGTCACACACAGACAGTCACACACAGACAGCCACACACACACACACACACACACAGACAAACTCTGATACACACACACAAGCTTACTATAGACAAGCTCACTGTCACATACACACGCTCACTACAGACAAGCTCACTGATGCGCACACACTCTCCCTACAGAAAAGCCCATTGACACACACGCACCCTACAGAAGAGCTCACTAACACACAGATTCACTACAGACAAGCTCACTGACATACACATGATCACTACAGACAAGCTCACTGACACAGTCACACACACACAGACAGTCACACAGACAGTCACACTCACACAAACACACACACACAGACAGTCACGCAGATAGTCACACACACACAAACAGTCACACAGACAGTCACACACACACACACACACAGACAGTCACACAGACAGTCACACACACACACACACACACAGACACACACAACAGTCACACAGACAGACACACACACACACAGTCACACACACACGCACAGACAGTCGCACAGCAGGCACACAGTGCGCACACACACACACAGACAGACACAGACGGTCACACACGTGCACAGTCATACACTCACAGGCGGTCACACAGACAGTCGCAGACAGTCACGCACACACACACACAGTCACAGACACACACAGACAGTCACACACACAGACACACACACACACACACACACACACACACACACACACACACACACACACACACAGTCACACACACACACACACACACACACACACACACACACACACACACAGACAGTCACACACACACACACAGTCACACAGACAGTCACACACTCACAGGCAGTCACACAGATCTCCCTGAAGTAAACCCATGTTGTCTCTGATCTTGAAATCCATGTGTCTTAAGAGGTTCAACAATCCTATCCTTTAACATGGTTTCCATCACTTTCCCCACTACTGAAGTAAGGCTTACTGGCCTATGGTTGCCCGACTCCTCCCTATTACCTTTCTTGTGAATGGGCACAACTTTCAATCTTCTGGGACTACTCCTGTTAACAATGATTGGTTAAATAAATCTGTTAATGCTTTTGCTAGCTCTTTTAATAGCTTTGGGTGTATTCCATCAGGTCCCATTGACTTATTTGTCTTGACTTTTGACAGTTGAAATAGAACCTCTTCCTCTGTGAACTCACGTGTAATAAATGACTCATTTATCCCTTTTCTTAACTGAGGTCCCTTTCCTTCATTTTCATCTGTAAATACTGAACAAAAATATTCATTGAGGCAGGCAGCTAGACCTTTATCCTCTTCTACATACCTTCCTTATTTTGTTTTTAATCTAACTAATCCTTGTTTTACTTTTCTTTTCTCATTTATGTAGCTTAAAAAATTGTTTTGTCCCCCTTTTTTACTGACTGTACTATTTTCCCTTCTGTGTGTGATTTGGAAGCTTTTAACTCTTTCTGCCTAATCTTATAGATCATTCTGTCTTCCTCACTCAGTTTTTTTAATAAGTACTAAATGCTAACTTTGTTTTTTACTATTTTGGTCATATCTGCGGAGTACCACAGTGGTTTCTATAATCTTTTGCTTTTACTGTTGCCTTCAGTAGTGCAACTTTTAAATAATCCCATTTCTCTTGGACTCCATTTAAATTGCTCCAGTCTGATAATGACTCCTTTACACCTATTCTAATTTTAGAAAAGTCTGTTTTCTAAAGTCTAAAACTTTTTGGTTTTGTGTGGTGTGACTCAGTCACTGTTCATATATTAAATCACACTGACTGATGATCACTGGATCCTAAACTTTCACCTACAGTAATATCTGATACCAAATCTCCATTTGTTAACACTAAATCTAGTATGGCCTCTTTACGAGTTGGCTCCTAAACGACTTGTTTTAGAGACAATCCCAGTAGGGAGTTTAGAATGTGTGCTCCTGGCACAAGCAGCTATTTTTGTTTTGCAATTCACACCAGGAAGATTAAAGTCACCCATGATGATAACTTCCCCCTTCATCATCATAAATATTACAACGCTAAATCTTTAAATGCTACTCTAAATTCCTGTTCTGGCTGTAATATATATTTGTGTTTGGGGCAAATAGCCGTATATGGAGGAAGGTTCCAGCATAAGCGTAGGATAGTATAAAGTCGGTTGTGGTGTGCCGAGACCGACGATACGGTAGGCCTGTAAATAAAGAGGGCCCACCAAGGAGTAAGTAAGTAAAGTAAATGGAAAGAAAAGAGAAAGTGTTGAAATGAGGAGTGGGTGGGAGGGTCATTCTGATGCTGACCTCAAGCGATATGAGTCAGGTAAGGGGTGTCCCTTATATAGGGGAGTGAATTAATTTAAGCCCCTCCCACAAATACAGGCCAAATGGCCTTAAAACATATGGAATATGCTGCTGGATTCTATCGCCCTAATCTTTTAATACTATGAGCAGGTACAGTGTGACTTGAATAAACAAAAGCACAGAGGTAAACCACTATAAAATGCACAGCACCCGTTGTTGGAGTAGAAGGATAAAAATAACTTATACTTAACAGGCAATGTGCACTAGTACGGGAATACTGTTTCTAAAAGGAAATAGATAAAACATACATAGTGTAATCTATTACAATACAATGTACAATGGGTGTGTATTTGGTTTCACTCACAAGTATGGAGCCGTGCCAGGCACTATGTAAACAGCCTCAGGGTGCCAGTACTGGCTTCAGTAGGTGTCCACAGGCAAGACAGGCAGATTAAATAATAATTTATTGGAAAATTAAAAGTTGGACATATAAAAAGCATTGTGTAATACACAAATACCTATACACTACCGCACAATGTCCTTGTAATATAACAATAAAAGATTACAGCAAATACAGGATAGGCATTTCCTCAGTGCCTCAGTGCCATGTTGATAGATGCTCTGTGTTCACAATTTATGTGGTTTAGTTGATTGTTGAATTGATTCACTTGCCAGTCGAATGCGTTACTTCCGGGTTGTGGTCCAGGATTAGGTCTTGGTATGAGGGAGTGCTCAGAGAGAGTTTGATTTAAAAGAATTTTAGGTCAAGGTGGCAAAAAGAGATAAATGCCACTATGGAGTTTAGGGAGTGTGTGTCGCAGATCTGGTAATCTGAAGTAAATTTGGTATAGAGAGTGAATGCTCTATTGTAAGCCCGTGATGTATTGGTAGAGAGGGCTGAACTGGCCAGATATCTGCTGTGAGCCAAGAGGCTATCTAGTCCAGGATTAGGTCTTGGTATGAGGGAGTGCTGACTGGACTGATGTAGGCATTGAAAAAAATCCTGCAAATTAGAACGAGACAACGCATCAGCGGCTGTATTGATGTGGCCTGAGATTTATATCCAAGTAATGTAAAATTGTAGTGTAGTCGCTAACCATGTCAATCGTCAAATCAGTCTCATGATGGTAAGTGAAATGGATCTGCCCTTATTTTTAATGTAACATGGCACTTTTTTGTCAAAGAAGCATGTAATGGACCGTTTCAGCACACAAGGGGTTAAAACCGTTTAGGCGATCGTCCCCTTCCAGAGATGCAGGCACAGCTACTGCAGAACACCAATCCGCCGAACAGGAAAACGTTTTTTTAGCTACATAAATGAGAAAAGAAAAGTAAAACAAGGATTAGTTGTAAACAGCCGAATAGGAAAAACCATACGAATAGGTTTACACTCCTAGCAGCCGAACTGGAACAGCATACAATAAATCCCCCCAAGAACGAGACAAAGCTCCGTGTTGAGGGTCAAGCAGTGAACAGTCAGAGCTGTGGGTTTATTGTGCTTATGTACACATTCTTACACATTAGTACCACCCACAGGGTTTTGGAACACAACCAATAAACACATACAATACACTCAGACACTCCCACACAAATTCCTCCCCTCTGCTTGTGATTCAATTACCTTACACAATGGGTAATGTAATTTAGCACAAGCAGAGAAATACAATTTTTCCACATTATTCATAACTTGAAAAGTATGCATCACATTCACATAAATTTTCACTTACATTTTCAGAATCAGAATACTCCAAATACAAACATACGTCAAAATCATACAAATTGGTCCAGTGGTTCAAAAGATAGATCGTAGTCCTTTGTGACCACAGGAAGCATTGCTTTTCTGCCCAAAACCAGTTCCACAGAGTCTTCTATCCTGGAGATAATTAGAAGTAATCCAATTATCTCCAAAGACAGAGGCAAAACTCCATTGAACACATGGCAGCAAAAAGACAGTAAAATAAAATAAAATACACAAGGTTACATTTATGACATAAATTACAGACATGCAACATATGCTCAGATAGCTTAGGTCTGAGCGCACATTAATACTGAATGGCGCTCAGACCACAAACACATACAGTTCAATTGCCATAAATAGGCTCCATGGCATACCTATCTGGGTGATATGAGTTCATTCAGTAAATCCGAGAATCTACCGAACACCGGGCAGAAAAGCACGAATAAGTCTTTTCTGCAGTGAAAAAGATGTCTTTTAACATGGGGCCATAGTCCAAAGGCACCAGGCGAGCAACCAGGCTTCTCCAATGCAATGTGGCGAGATTGCTCTCGTCACAAAGCATTTTACTGCTTTCCCTTGCCACAGGAATGAGGGTAGACCATGGAACCAGGAGTCACCAAAGATCGCTGCGAACCCTGTATGGGATGCAGCATTGGTTCATATGACTGGGGAAGATTCAGAGATGGGTGGAAGAAACACTGCTTTCCGATTCCACTGTGATTGAAAACTAAGCCTAGCACTGTGTATCTAGGGATACGGTACTCTTGTTGGTATGGAGGAGGGGAAGAAGGCACAGTAGTCTGGAAATAAGAGCACTGTCCTGTGGAATAATTCTCATGGTGAAGTGTAGCGTGCACAGTAAGGATTGTAATTCTGTCCTGGGACACGTCCCCTTGGACAGAAAAAAATGATACTGATTCTCTGATATGCTGTACATTCACAATAGGTGAACTGGCTTGTTACAAGATTGTGTCTAGATGAATTCACAGGAAAGTTAGGTTAGTCGTAGGGCCTACAGTTTTTTCCTGCGAAAGTGGAACCCCTATATCTGAGAAAAGAGCAATTGTTTTGTAAATCTTGATAAAAGTGGACTGAAGTTTCTGTAGTGAGAAAGTAATCTAGATAATGTATGACTCCTGGATATTCGGAAATGTTGAGAAGTAGCCAACATAACGTGTCACATAATAGACTGATACATTATGCATGGTCCATGATTTAATACAACTCATTACTTGAAAGTGTTACATATCTGTTCTTAACTCTAAATGAGTGTTAGGCAACTAAACAACTTTTTTAGTGAGAATATTTTTTTTATTTTTTTTTTGCAGTGCATATGATTTTGACAAACATGCAGGTGGTACCCTGTGGCGAAACCGACCTCGCCACGTGTCCTTGGAGGGGGCTGCTTGCCCGCCTCTTGCCTTTGGACTATGGCCCTGCAGGTTAAACTGTTTATTTTCCCTGCAGAAAGGCTTATTCGTGTGATCTGAGTGCCATTCATCTGATAATGTGCAGTCAGATCCAAGCTATCTGGGGATATGTAGAAATGTGTGTTTTATGTACTAAATGTGTCAGTATGTAATTTTATGTCTTTTACTGTCTTTTTGTCTGCCATGTGGGTAATGGAGTTTGGCTCTGTCTTTGGAGATAATTAGATTCCTTCTCCAATTATCTCCAGGGCAGAAGGGAGGAAGCCAGGATGCATTGTGGGGATGTTTTACTTTTACTGTTTGAGCCAGGGGGAACAAAAGATACTTTTACTAACTTTTGAACCCCTGGTCTGATTCATGCCATTTTTTAATATGTTGTTCCCCTGAATGGATTGATTGTGAATATGTATTTTTATGCGAATGTGATGTATATTTTGGGAGTTATGAATGTTGTGTAAAAACTGTATTTTCCCTACCTATGATAATTGTATTTTCCTGTGTGTACAGATAATTAGTTTACAGGTAGAGGGGAGGGCTATGTGTGGGATGTAACTATTGTGTGATTGGTTAATGTACGTTACTGTGTGTGTCCCTCCCCTTCATGGGAGCACCTAATAAAAAGGGCTGCAAGCTAGCAGCCAGAGAGTTCTATTTTTACCCTCAACTTGAGTCCTGTCTCTTATTGGGGGAATCTGCTACAAGGGATTGCTATGCTAGGCATATTCCATTGCTATAATCACTGAGCTCTTGTAAGAGCTTGTTCCTGCTTCGTTCTGAAGGGAGATAGCTGCAGCCTGCGGTGCTTATGGTGTCTGGTGGAGTGCTTGGAGTCCTCTGGAAGCGCTAGGAGCATCTTTCAACGGAGGTACCAAGTCGGGGTGCCAGGTGATCCGTTACATACCCCGACGGCATTCCGCCTGCTTATTTAACGACAATTGTAACAGTGGGGTATTGATAACATTGCACAAGTGTTTTATGTAAGTTAACGGTTGCGTTGTTTTGAACTAGCTTAGAATAAACAAGTAAGTTCTGTCGAGTGGTTCATTATGATGTGTCGAACAGGCTTGTTACAGGCTGTGAAAGATTATCCTGCTCGGCAATCCCATGGTGTAGGTATAAGCATGTTATATGAAATTAAAATATGTAACGCTAATGGGACTGTGCAGGGCTAATCTCTGGCTAAACACATATATATGTAGTTGCAAGAAATAATAAGATAGATGGTGGGGTGGACAGCTAGCCACAGGCTAAACATGCTGAGTAAAACTGATAACATGCAGGTGTAAGTAATGCTAGATGAGTTAGTGTGACAGACCCATCTGTCTGGACTAAAAGTACTGTGTTCGTCTGTTTTGCCGTTTGCATGAATTTCCCCATTTGTATGCTTTGTTTAAGGGAATGTCTGTTTTTTGTCGAACGGAACTACCGAACGGGCGGCCACCCAGAAGAGAAGTGTGCTGCTGGTTAACCTATTGATCCCAATTAGAACGTTGCGGTTAACCACAGACACTTCTCAATTAAAACCGAATGCCGGGTGGTCGTCGTTCGTATGTCGACCACGAGGCGGCGGCCATTTTAACCATGCGAAAGACCAGTGGTGTTCGACGGTTATTTCATGGAACTGAAAACGGACACTTTTTCAACCGAACACCGCTGAAGCCGTCATCCTCCCCTTCTCAATCTACAAAAGCATACGAACGGCGGCCGTTCGGGAGATTCAACAACACGAATGGACTTAACCCAGATAGCCTTCCCATGGAGTCAATTGCATACCGAAGAACTGTAATAGACTTTGACTCCATGGCGATTGAACTTTGCGAATGGGATCTGAGCGCTATTCGCCAATAATATGCACTCAGATCCAGGCTATCTGGGGATGTGTTACACGAATGCAATATGTTCGGCAGTTATAAAGTTATGTATTTTTATGTGTTTTATGACTTGTACTTAAAATGGCGATTTGCCTCTGCTCTGGGAGATAATTAAATTACTTCCCAATTATCTCCCGAGCAGAGGGGAGGGAACTGTGATGCATGCTGGGAATATTGTGGGGATGTATGTCCAAAATGTCCCCATGTCCTTCTGTCATTTCAGTCTCCCATTTGGTCCCCTAGGGGAGTGTCCACCATGTGGAAGACCTGCATAAATACCGGGCAGGTAGCCCACAGTAAATCAGTTCATGTTTTACCCTCAAAGCGGAGCTTGGTCTCGTTATTGGATTTTATTACCGGCGCCTAGAGACTGCTTATTGGAATTATTTACCGCTTGGAAGATATTGGCGTTCGGCTAAGATTGGCAGTTTGTGGATTTGGAGCTCATGAAGGAAAAGAGCCGTACAGGTACCGTTCGGGAGTTTGGAGTGTTCCCTAGCTGGCGGTTCGCATGGTTATACTATACACGCTACCAGACCACATTATTGCGAACGGGGAGCATTCACTAAACGGCGGTTTGTACATTTATGGCTGGAGGTACCGTAACAGTTAGGTTGTTTAAACTTCAATAGGTACACATACTGCGAGGTGAGTGTCTGGGCTGTGGGTTTCTGCCAGAGGTGACAATGTCCCATTAAATTAACTCTTTCAGCATATTCTCTCCTAGCGTACAGAATTGTCCAGCATGAGGGTGACTAGACCCATTCAGTTGATGAGGTGAAGCCCGGCCACCGTTTGCCTGGGAGGCGGTTCACGGGTGATTGTGGTAGTCTCTTCGTGTAGCTTAGGGCGCATGTTGGTACAATGGGGCTCTGCACTCCACAGTAGTGGCGAGCAGGATGTCGGTCTGCGACCCGTGTCTCCAGCCAGCGGTGCAGCCT